GGTTTGCTGATAATTACGTGTGTTTCCATTAATTCTTCTCGTGTTTAGACTAGAAACAAAACTCTACTTTTAATCTTTTATGTTCCTTATTCGTTTATTGTCATTCTTGTAGTGCTAGTGAATGGTTGGTTTGCAAGAATCCAAAGATTGTACAAGCAAAAGATTTTTCTTTCAGCGGGCTTAACTTGGCTGGCAATACTACAAATGCAGTTGGATCGCAGGTGACACCAGTATTTGTAGCTCAATTGGCAGGGCTTAATACTCTTGGAATCTCCATGGCCCGTATAGATTTTGCACCTGGAGGTATCAACCCCCCACACACACATCCACGGGCTAGTGAAATTCTAACTGTCCTTCAGGCACCCTCAACGTAGGGTTTGTCACCTCTAATCCAGAAAATCGTCTCATCATGAAAGTACTTCAGGCGGGGGATGTATTTGTGTTCCCCAGGGTCTCATCCACTTCCAGCAAAACATTGGACCCACCAATGCTGTTGCAATAGCAGGCCTGGGCAGCCAAAACCCGGAGTTATTACCATTGCAAATGCCGTGTTTGGATCAAATCCTAAGATCACTAGTGATCTTCTTGCGAAGGCTTTCCAAGTGAATCCATACGTTATCAATTTGATTCAGTCACGGTTCTAAGAAAACCTAGTTGAACAACTAATAAGGAAGAATGATCACAAAAAGTGTAACTATATTAGCTTTTTTATTTCTTTCTTCCAATTGAATAATGTTTGTTCACTATGTAATTTACTTGTCAGGCATAAAGGTCAACTATTATCAATATAGAACATGTTTACATATGTGGTAGGTAACAACTGATTGGGGGTCTATGGGTAATTTTTTCCCTTGTGTGTAAGGTTGTGGATCATCTTAATAATCTAGCAATTTTAGAGAAAATTTCTGCAGTTTGCAAATGCCATTTGCTTGGCTGTCTATGCATGTTCAATCCGTTTTGGTAAAGGCCATTTGTAGGAACAAACATAAAACTATATTTTAGAGCATAACCTTGTCAGGTCAATGTGTATGCCATCAACAGAAAGAGTCCCTTCCTCATCCGTTCGAATACGAATTTATTCACTAAAGGATGAGATTTTCTCTATCAACCCATTTCTATTGCAAACCTAATGCATCTATTTGTCAAATTCAAATTTTAGATCTTCCCATGGGATATTAAAAACATAAACAACACAAAAATGTCCTTTTGCCCTAAGAACAAATGCCGCTTCTATCTAAGTCAACCCCTTTTTTCTGTAAGTAACATATCATTGACCCAAAAACCATGTACAAGAGTATAACTCATGGTACGAGATATACAACAATCACAACCGCAAAAAGAGGGGAAAATGGATGGAAATTGTTCTAGATTTTAACATTAAAAGAGGGAAAACATTTTTGATGAAAGATTGTTTGTTATATTCACCTAAATTATGCAATTAAGTGTGTAAACCCCTTTTTCAACAACCCAAACACCTCTTCATGTGAATTGATGTACAGATTTATCAATTGATTAAATTACAATCCAATTCACGAAGACTATGACCCACACCAAAATCTATGTCCACAAAACCTAAATTGATGAATGAGTTAAATAAATCAATAAAAGGAGCAATTCATCAAACATTGTGTGTGCAATTGCATGTTTGTGTGTGTGCGCAAAATTATAGCAATCAACGAGCATATCCATAACACAAGTAATTTGTCAATGTAGAAACCCTTCTCACGAACAACCGTAGAACCAATTCTGGTTCGCATAGAGCCTAATCCACTGTACTCAATCAATATATACGTACTCAAATCTTATCCTTCAACCACTTTCCATGACTAAATGATCTTTCTCGTCGTAAATCTCTTCTATAGATATCACCCTTTGAATTCTTGAGTAGCTTCAATTGCATGCGTTCACCATAAGGAACTGTCTAGGCTCCTTGAGAAATCTTCAAGGCTTTACACCCAAGACTTTCAAGATGCACACACAAAAATGACTTTGTTGATCACTAAGAAAGAACTTCTTCTTCAATGCGTGAAGTTAAATAAGAAGGATCAAGATGGTTTGACCTTTGGATCTTAGGGATCTAGTGTTTATCTATGATCTTTTAAGGTTTATGAGGCAAAACATTAGCACACAAAAAATATACCCTAACTCTAGGAGACTTTTCTTATTTGTAGGCTCAAAATTAGGTTAATCTTGGGGACCAAGTAAATGAGAATTCTTGAATAACCGCTTGAGTAATGGAAGAGCAGTTGTTACTGGAATGAAAAGAAGAATAAAACTAGATCAGTGGAGCAGAGATGGCTCAAGTCGTCGACAGACTGCTCGATTGCCCTGCAAACGACCGTGACACTCTCTCTTTATTAATCTAAACTTGTCCTTCAAGGACTTATTTTCTTCTTCAAGCTCGCAAATATGAATTGTGAACTTCATTGAGAAATTCTTCACATAATTCATTGTACGCATCATGAATATCCTAAATACTCTCCATGCCATCCTCGCTCGAGGTGACCTCGAAACCCAATTAATCCTCACTTAATCTAGCACAAAATTGCTAAATATTTCATCCTCTTGCATTCTCAAAGTCTCAAACTGAGAGGTGTACCGTTGAAGACGAGACATCTTCTCTAAGGGTGTTCCTTTGTGAAAAAATTGTAAGATGTCTCATGCCTATTTTGAAGTTTCACAATTGGAGATCCTCTGAAATTTATTTTGTGTTATGTTATCGAATATAACATTCAAGGCTTCCGAGTTCCACTCCGCAAAATCGAACTTGATTTTTGATCAAGCCTTTAGGAATTTTGTTCGGTCACTAAATCACCACCTGCAATAGTAGTGACAGTAGGACAACTCCAACCCTCTAACACATATGACCTTACACGTTCATCTATAGACTTTAGAAAAACCCTCATTCAAGCCTTCTAATATGCATAATTAAACCAATTAAATAGTGGTGGTCTTACAACTGAACCTCTTTCTTATTTTGAAGCTGTTAATAACCAACTGATAGTTATAATGAATCTCAATTCACAAAACAACTAGGTCAAATAGGAAAATGTGCAATAAATGCCTACGTGCGTATGTGCAATTCTCATGGCAACCACGCTCTAATACACTACAATTAATTTGTCTTTTAGCGACGAATTTTAGCGACAAACAATAAAATTGGTTGTTAAAAAGTGTTTTTTGGCGACAATTTCAAATGTTTCTCGCGTTAAACTTTTTTATGATATTTTTGGCGACCATTTTTTGTAGTTGTAGCCAATAGTCTTCGCAAAAACTTTCCTCCAAAAAAAATTTGGCGCCAATGATGGCGCTAAATGCTAATATTATGAGCGACAAAAAAATTTGTCGCCAAAATAATTTTTTTGTGGCAAAATTTTGTCAAATACCGAAAAATAAAATAATAATAATAATAATATTTAGCGACAATACATGTTTGTCGCGGAAAAAAAGTTAAAATTATTTTTGTTTGGCGACAAATGATAATTGGTGACAAAATATCATTACAAGAAAAATATTTTTTTGCAACGATTTTTTGCGATGTGTAAGAAAAATTGTCGCTAAAAAAAGATATTCTACAACAAATATTACGTTTCATTGGCAAAAAGTATTAAACAACATTTTGGCGACAATTATTTATACTTGTCGCTACAAAAATAAGGGTTTTGTGACAAATTTTTTACGACGGCTGTATTCACCGTCACAAAAGGCGTGTTTGAGACAATTTTTTGTGGTGGCTGTGTTTGCTGTCACAAAAAACATGTTTGTATCAATATTTTGTTAATAAATTTGTGGCAACTATTTTTCTTGCTATAAATAGTGTCATAACTCATGAGAAATTTTTATAAAACATTAAAACGGTGTTTTAGATTAAAAAAGAGTTTAGTGTTTTAGATATGGCTCAACGGTTTGTTTTGCATAAAACCCTGAAATAGATTCATATTTGGAGTAAGTTGATTTTTTAAATATGTGAATGCATGATATGTTAGTTGCAAAAAATGTACCTTGATTTTTGGCGACAAATATTATGTCATCGCCAAAAAGAAAAAATATGACCATAATATAATTGTTTTCGGCGACGAAGATTTTTTTGTGACAAGTAGATGAATTTTTAAGCGACTAAGTCTTTTGTCACTAATAATCTACTTTAGCGACGATACTTTAATTGGTCGCCAAAAACTTTCAGTGACGAGCCTGTCGCGCGAAACTGGCGACCAAGTTTTTTTTGTCGCAAAAAATTTTTAGCGGTGAATTATTCACTTTTAGCGACAATTTATTTTGTCACTAAAAAACATTTTTCTTGTAGTGATACCTAATTAGGAGAGATGCGTAGTGGATCTTCTCTCACGATTATACACGTTTATTAGACACAACCTAGAGTAGAAGGGAATAGGTTTATCAAAATTATCACTAGGTCAATCACCAATTTTAAACATAACGTACCAAAATTATCAATTCTTAAGTTAATTATGCAATTAAGTGCATGAACCATTTTTTCAACAACCCAGACACCCTGTCATGTGAATTGATACAAAGAATTTTCAATTGATTAAATTTCAATCTAATTCACCACGACTACGATCCCACACCAATCCTAAATTCACACAACCTAAACTTCTGAATAATTGAAATAAATCAATGAAAATGACAATTCATCAAACATTGTGTATGCAGTTGTATGCGTGTGTGTGTGTTTGAAATTATAGCAATCAACAAGAACATCCATAACATAAGCAATTTGTATTAAAAATTGTGAAATTCATCAAACATTTGTATTTTTTTGTCATTAAAAAACTAAAACAAATTCATTGAAGAAAAAGGATGAAATATGAATAACCATTTATGAAATATTAATAAATATTGAGTGATTCGGTTGGTATGTTTGTAAGGACTATAATAAAAGCAAAACATTATGAGGGCTCCCTCTCAACTAAAAGCAGCTTCCTAATCTGTTGGAACTTGCTTGAATGGATGAGAAAGTAGAATCTGGTCTCAAAACTTGATTTGTGTGGAGCCTGAAAGATGAGATTGGAGCCCAAGGGAATGATAGCACCCAAGTAAAAGTCCTACTCCAAGGCGAGAAACACTAAATCATAGATATATATAGGTATTGAGGAATCAAGTGAACAAGTCAAAGCTCAAGAACAATTGTGTTCTTGAACTAATTAGCAAGCTTTCTCTTCTTTACAAAATATAATACCAACTAAAAAAGAAAGATAAAGGAAAAAATACATATTAACTAAGTCTCCTGAGAGCTCTAGACTAATATATGTAATTCAAGATTATATGTATCTGAAAATAAAAATAAATGAACTTGTTGTTTAACATATCTAGTCAGTTGAAAGAGTATTATGGTGTAGTCAAAAAATAGTCTTGAGTGAACTATTTGATATTGTCGTAGATAAAACTTTTCAAAATTGACAATCATTTATTATATGGAACTATTTACATAAACATGCGCCAGCAAACTAAATGGAACACTAGATTAGAATTGAGCATCTTACAGACAACTTATGGGAACAATGAAATGTGATGGAAAGGGTGGTTCATCTATAAGCCTTGAATAACACGTGCATAGATTATTACAAATTAAGGAAGATAATGTGTAAAAATTGGTACACGTAATGCTACTTTGTGGCTTAATCGC